CACACACACACACACACACACACACACACACACACACACACACACACTTCCTCTTTCTTCCTCGTACATTTTGAAAAAAGTAAACAGTTGGGAAAGAAAATAAAAAGAGACAAAGTAAAATACAATAAGACGTAATACGTGAAACAAGTTGCATAGTTTTGAGATTTTTTTTTTTTGTTAGTAGTTTTTCAGGCACCTCGTCTCTCCGAGGTCCGACGGGTCGAGTGGTGCTTGAACGTCTCAGCCACATAAATAAGCCTCGCTCCCTCCGGTTGTAACAAAAATATATTAGATATTCTTTTTTTCTATCTGTTTTTTTGTTGTTTTTTTGTTGTTTTTTTGAAAGTGCCTTCGAGACTCTTTCTGAGTTCTGCTAGATGGAGGATGGAGGAGAGTTTTGATGGAGGGAGGAGGGAGGAGGTGAAGAAGGAGGCGCTGCAGGTAAAAGTGACGATGATCATGGAGTCACCTCTTCCTCTACCTCTCTCCATCGCCTCCCTCTCTCTCTGAAGTCCTCCTTCCTCTCCAGTCCAGTTCGTTCCGGACCGATCCGGATCGGATCCTCCGTGTCTACGAGCAGCCGCACTCCTCCACCACCATGTTCTGGATGTCCTTCTTGATGATCTTCTGCTCCTCGTTGTAGTACAGCATGGACATGGCTCGTAGCCGGGTGGGCACGCAGCACGACCTCAGGTTCTGGAAGGGGCTGTAGCCCCTCATGCGGTAGTGGCTGATGACGGTGGAGTGGAAGGACAACGTGGAGCCGGTGATGCTCGCCACGTGGGAGGGGCACTCCCCCTCGCAGTAGTTAGCGTGGTAACCGGGCGGCGCGATGATCCAGTCGTTCCAGCCGATGTCTTTGAAGTTGACGTAGAACTGGCGCTTGCAGCAGACGCGGACCTTCCCGTCGCACTCCAGGCCGCGCTTCCTGCGCCGCGGCGAGTCGCCGGCTTCCTCCTGCCGGACGACGGCCATGAGGAACGGCCGGTGGGACTGCTCCCGCTGGTTGGCGCGCTGCGACGTCTCGAAGCCGCCGGAGACCAGCACCGGCGTGGCGCCGGCGTCGGCGCAGAGCGGGCAGGAGACCCTAAGGCTGAGCGGTGTGCTCGCAGCGCTCTGCAGCAGCGCTTGAACCGCCGCCGACACCGGGAAGGTGTGCCAGCCGCTGCGACGCGTGTCCACGGACTTCTCTGCCAGGAGGACGTCGTCCTGTGCCGGAGACGGGCGTCCGTTGGAGAGCCGGCGTTGCTGGAAGAGGCGGATGGTGACTTTGGCTCGGCTGCGATTGGTCTTCGCCAAGCGGAGGAAGAGCCAGACGTTGGCCTGCTCCACCAGAGAGAGGGCGCCTCCGTCTTTAGAGAGGACGAAGTTCACCAGGCCCTGAGACTCACCTGGGACGGACACAGAGAGGGAGACAGGGTTAGGGCAAAGGTCAACGGTAACCAGGAAAACACTGATCACATGTACGGAGAGACCCTGAACGCCTCGCTGATACCCTTCAGCTGATGTGTGTGTGTGACGAGTGTGGCCACATCTGTGCTATAGAGTCATCTACACACACAACACACACTTGTCATTATGTTACCATCGCTAACATGACCTCACACACACACACACACACACACACACACACACACACACACACACACTCACACACACACTTCCTGCTGACTCAGCAGTGGTCGGAGGTTTTTCGGAGTCAGGCAGCGTTTAGAGCCGGTAATGGTTCCCACCAGGACAGTTTACAGCAGAATAAATGAAGTGTAATCGTTCTGCTCTCTGAATTATGGGAAACTTAAAACAAAAAAAAACTGCAGAAGAAGAGTTTTATTCTGGAGTGTAGATGTGAGCAGCTGTTTATTCTGCTGGTTTCAGCCTGAAGGTGAACGTGATTTAAGGATAAAAGGAGAGTCATGTGATCAGAGTGGTGAGTCACACAGGAAGTAAACAAAGAGACAGACAACATCTGACGCGTGATTGGTGGAATGCTCCCCTCGCTGGACATTCATTGGCTCTGACACTCTCTGACCTCATGTTTGAACAGTCAGCTGTTCATAATGTTTGCCATTCTCCTTTTGAATCATTTCACCAAACAAACACCGCGAGACATTCAGGAACTCATGAACTTCTTCATCAGGAAGTCTGATCGCTGGTCACTTCACTCGTATTTCTCTTTTATTTTGAAAGGACAGAAAGTCTGAAGCTCTAGCAAACACTGCAGGGACACACACACACACACAGACCTGTATTTTACATTTCCTAGAAACCTCCGGGCCAGGCAGCAAGCTAATCACTGGTTTGAAGACCCAATTACCGTCCACCAGCATTACATAAGATCTTTGCATCACCCCTCTCTCTCTCTCTCTCTCTCTCTCTCTCTCTCTCTCTCTCTCTCT